GCCATGATGAAGTCATAATCAATTACTTACTGTAGCCAGCCCAAGGGCGTCAATTGCTTTTCAAAAGTGGGATGGACGTACCTTGATCAGAACTAATGTGAGTGCGAAGAGCGAAGCCCTGCCAGTGTGGGGTTGGCGGCCTGATTAAGGGCCCCGAAAAAAATTTGGATTCGATCTAGATGCTCTGTGGTGCGATCTGAGGAAATTTCTGACCAATTTAACCAATTTTTTTTAGCGAAAGATTATCATTTAAATATCGTTTTCAAGTTTGGAGTCACTGAATCAGCTATTCTGAGCTATAGAATCATAATATGCTACCATTTTTATTCGGGGACGAAAAAAGTGGGGGGGGGGTTGAACAAACAATATGATATCCCCCCTTTAAAAATTAAAAAATGGGGGGCGGGGGGGGGGGGGGGGGGGGGGCCACTTGTGGGCAGGCCAGCAGCAAGGGAGACTAGATACTTGGCTGAATAAATTGTAATAATTTGGAACCTGTCTGGGCGTGGCATCCCTACAAATGCATGCTTTTACTGTATCCATAATTCTTTTAGTTTCTCACACAAATGTGTTACTTTTGAAAACCATGCTGCAACTTCTTAAAGGGAATATACATCATTTGCTTTTGCTGTAATTTTCAGAAATGTATGGAATTGGGGGGTTGGAAATATATAGCAAATATAGTTACACTGACTTTTTTGAGGTTTTGGGTTCAAAAATGCTATAAAAACCAAGAAAAACAATCATTTTCCTGTAGTCTGGTTCCCTGACTCCATTTAAGAAGAAACAGAGCAGTTTACATACAAAGTATACAAATCTAAAAAAGCAATTTTGGTGAAAAGGTATAAAGATTGCTTCCACAACAAGAAAATGCACCCTTCCTTTCATTAAAAAAAAACACTTACTATTAGTTGTCCTTTTTGTGCAGTTGGAACGAGGAATCTAAACAATCCTTTGGTAGAAATAACACAACAAAGAGCCAAGTATGGTACAACAATCAGTAGATGACAATTGCCAAGATTTTGGCGCCCAGCTAGCACCCAAATGTCTATTGTTGGTAAATCATTTGACACCGATCCAGAAATGTACACGTAGTTGGTGCAGTGCACAGCATCCAGTCAAATACGTGATCTTTCGCAATTGGGTGCAAAGGTCAGCGTCTGTACATAATGAGCTGGCTTATGCATGAACATATCCTGTGGTTCAATGAGCATGCAGGAACTTCACTCTGAAACCAGACGAATGAAATTGAAACTGGAATTCTCAAATGCTTTGTGAATACATGTGTAGGGAAATTAAGAGAATAACAAGGAAATCAGAGGACGAAAAGACTTTCTTTAAATTAAGGAAAACAGTAAAGAAAAGGAAAGCTGATTTCATCTGGAACTGGCCCTTCCCTGTTTTTTATGAAAATAATATTTTTTTTTATACATTCTTGTCCATAGTTTCTTTGTTTTTCATATGGCATTATGGATTATTTTGAAGTGAACAGTAACTGTGCTCATCAAAGTTGTGTGCTGAGTCAGCTGTATGAAAAGTTTGTTGCCCTCCTTTCTGTCTGCCATCACCAATAAGTCTGTCACAAGAGGGCTCACTACTCACACACTAGTTCAGTGGATTTTATATTGTACTTTTTGCAGTGTATGTCAGCTCCAGTGTTGGAGTCGAGTCCTCAAATCCGAGTACAGAGTACTCTGAGTACATTCAAGGCTGAGTATACTGGGCCGAGTCTGAGTACAATTCCCAAAAAGTACAAAAATAAAGAAATATGTAAATAAATATATAAATAAATGAGTCGAGTACCGAGTACCAAACCATCGAGTCCGTGTAAAATTTGAGTACAAAGAATCGAATACGGGCCAAATCGCAATAATTTTTGAGTACTGAAAGTCGAGTACAGGCCAAGTACTTGCATGTACCCGAGTTGTACTCGAGTACGAGTACTCCAACACTGGTCAGCACCCCAATAGTTTTTGGCTCAGAACCTATACATGCTGGTTTGGCTTGTATAATTGGGAAAAATATAATAGTTTTTACAAATGTTAGGATTTTTTTAAATGTGTCGGACAACGTTTCAAGGACTGCCACTGCCAGATACCAGGGAGAGAAGTCCAAGTACACATCTCAGAAACTGTTGTTATTTGCTGAAATTTGTATCGGTGGAGGTTTTGGACATTTCTTTGGATGTTGAGGCCTCGGGGCAGCAGCACAAATCTTCCCCCAAATGACAAAGCTTCTTGCAAACCTTCACATCCTCTCTAGTCCATCAAGATTCACTGACAATTCTTGTGGAATTTAGTAGATCATTATACACATGGGCATCGCGAGAGGGGGGGGGGGGGAGGGAAAGGGGGGGGGGAAGGAAAAAGAGGTGCAAATCCATATTGCTGTTAATGTCATGGAGGGGGGTGGTAGGGAAAATGTTTGCCTCCCTATGTTTGGAAAATGATAAATTGAGAATGTATTGAAAAAGTTAAGAAGTTTTGGGGGAAATTGTGCTTTACACTCCCCCCCCCCCTTTTTGTAAAAATCCTGGCAATGCCCATGATTATACACTGTTAGTTCCATCCTCGGCCAGTTTTATTTGTTTGACAAAATAACTTATTTGGAAAAAAAAAGGGTAATTCTTGATTTTTTTTGGGAGGAGGGGGGTTATGAGTGTGACACCCCATTAATTATAAATTGTTTTGTCGGCAAAATTGTTGTCCTGGCAGCAAAATCGTGTCCCCGTCGGCAAATTTGCCATGTTGAAGAGCGCCACCCATTGTCAGATACTATAGGAAAATTGTATTATAGGCCCCCCCCCCTCGATTTTCATTTTTTTGACAAAAAGTTGATAAACTAATTTTAAGTGCTAGAATTTAACCTGTTAAGTCTGTATCAGGGGATATCACACACCTATCAATTCCTCACTTGAGTTATCAAAAATTTGGTTCTGGTTTGTATGAAAAAGTCTATAAGAACTGAGAGGAAACTTGTTTAAATCACATACATGAAGTACTGATGTAACAGATAGAGAAATTAAGTCTTTCACTCTTGATGGTTCAATGGTCATAAATTTCACTTCAACACTGTTCAAGGTTACATAGGCTGCCAACCTAAACTTTGCTGACGTACCGGTACGTTGCTGCAGAAACTAAAATTTTATGCAAATACATTTATGGATGCACAAGTAATCCAACAATTTCTTTATGGAAAAAAATGGAACTCTAACATTTTTGTGAAACTGTGGTGATTATTCCTGTGTTACCTAGAAAAATACAATTATCTCACTCGAAGTACACCTGGGGCATCCATTTTTATTTCTTTGGTTTTAAGTTCCGACCGACCCTATTTTGGGCTCCCGACCCAAGAACAACAAATTAACTGCCAACCCTGTCTGGAACTAGTCTGAGGATCAGACATTCACGTGGGCAGAGCCATGGTATGAACATTTGATTACATATATAAATTTTATGAAACCCCACAAGCCAGCCAATCGGAGTGGCCTTTAGGAACTGTGAAATCAGAAATGTGGACTGTAAGCTGTTGATTGGTCAATTTGGATGCCATTTTTAGAACAACGGGTTACAGATTGAGACCTGATAGAAGGCGCCCATTGGTCAGGATCTTGAGGTTAAGAAGCAGTCTTGTTTTTCATCATTAATTGTTGAATCTGCTTGAATGAGGTTGGTTAAATGAGCCAACAACTCTGGGCCAGCAACTTGTACTCTCAGACACATTTGTAACATACAACTACAGCTCCTGCAGCTATTGTCAGATCACGAGGATGATCTCATCTGCATCCCTACAACCCTTGATGGCACATCCATTGTGCTTGCCATCAGAACTAAAATGAAGAACTTTGTCTGAACCCCAGGCAAAACGGAATGCCATCCCTGTCACAACACACTCCAGTTTGCTTTATCTGAGCATTTAGAAAGTCATTATCATCACTGACAGCAGTACAGAATACCTCACTGCCGTTGTAGTCGACTGACCGTAACTTGTCCCAGTCAGTCATTATTGTACAAGTATGGATAATACAAATTTATGTTTTAATTTTATCAAATGTTTGTATACAATACTAAGATCTGCCCATCACCTTGTGAAATATTAATAAGTTAAAGTCACATGAGAACCCACAATGTGAAAAATGATTCGAAGAGGGAACAACTTACAAATCTACAATGTAGGTTTAAACAGTTATACATTGTACACCAGCATATTATCACAAACAGAGGGAAAAGTAACAAACCACCCAATATAATTTGTAATGTTTCCTTGTAGCACACAACAAATAATTGTATTACATGTATATAAATTATCTTTGAAATTAAATACAGAAATGTGTATATGTATAATACTAAGATCTGAAGATGAAATCATCACCTTGTGAAATTGAGGCACATATTAATAAGATGATAAACTCATCTTAAATGCTAGAATTTGAACCTGTCAAATCTGTATCAGGGGATACCACACACCTTCAATTTCTTACTGGTGCAGATATATTGTAAGTCAATTACACCTTGCCAAGGATGACTTTTATTTTTTGGGTGAAGTGATATCAACTCCCTCACTGCAATAAAAAAAAAAACAATAAGCATTTGGCATCATTGAATTTATCTATCTTGTGAGTGCAACTGCAATGTTGTTTCAGGTTTTTCCAACGGTGCTTGAGAGGCAAAGAATATGAGAACCATAGAAGACGCCCTTGATAAAAAATAATTATGAAAGGCTAATCTTGGAAAATCTTTGGAGCGTCATTCAAAAATACAAATTTGAATGTGATGCATTTTCAGATTTGTCTTTGTTGTTTTTACCATTACATTAACATTACAAGTTTTCTAAGATCCTCCTGTGCTTTTGTTTTCATATTTTGAACTGACACTGCATCCCCCTACATTGGCTGATTTGACCAGCTCACTTTAATTTGCTTGGTAGGAGGGGGTGTGAGAGGGGGGTTCATAGCAATCAGCCAACAACTCTGGGCCAGTAATTGTGCACTACTTTCAAACTCAGACACGTTGGTAACAGACAACTGCATCACCTGCAGCTATTGCCAGATCACCATTTGGCATCAGGATGATCTCATCTGCATCTGTACATCCCTTGATGGCACATCCATTTTGCTTGCCATCTGGACTAAAAAGAAGAATTTCGTCTGAACCCTCAAGAAAATGGACTGTACCAGAGGCGGTACGTGTAACGTAGATGTTGCCATCCCTGTCACAACACACTCCTTTGAGCATTTTATCATCAAACAAGTCAAAATCATCATTACTGATGACAGTGGTACAAAATACCTCATTGCCGTTGTAGTAGACTGACCGTAATTTATCCCAGTCAGTGTAGATGAGACGCTGCCTGTGGATAGTCAAATAGTCACCTATGCCTGGAGCTGACACGATTGTGATGAGGGTACCATCCGGCCTGTGTAGGGATATCTCGCCCTTCTTCTCATAACCTATGGCTATCAGATTGTTGTTGTCTACTGCAAGGCATGTTGGTTTGCCGTTTGGCCTTAGACAAGCACCAGGTTTGAAGCTGTTTAGAGGATGGTACTGCCTATTGAAAGTCTTGACGACTGTGCCATCTAAGACGATGAGTTCATCATCCTTGTTTATTGCCACACGTTTGGGATTGTGCAAACCATCTATTTCAAGCTCTTTCGTGACTGGAGGAGACTGAGGTGTCTTGAAGGAGATGCTGATCAAGTTGCTGCATCCAGCATCCACAGTGACCACGTCGTTGTCAGAGAGCACTGCTAAATGAGATGCAGATTTAAATTTGGTATTGCTTTTTCCATATCGGTGTATCTCTGTCCTTTTATTCCACTTTGTTGTCCGATCTGAAGACATCTTGTATGCTTGAGCCCCCACTTGTGTTTTTGTATCATCTTTAAGTAACAGCTTCCCTATTGCGACTGATATTTCACCGCCTTGGAAGTCCATGAAAGACAACTTGTTATTCACCCTCTGTGGCAGTTTCTTTGTCAGCTCTCTGAGATTATGCAACACTTTCTGCTTAAAATCTAGCATCTCATGACAGCTTGCTTGATCTATGAGTTGTTCCATCTCATCTAGCTTCTGTTCTGTGTTGCTTGCTTCTTTGCTGTTGGTTGCAAGTGCAGCATCCAGTGTCTTGGCTCTGTCTTTGTAGATCTTCTCTGCCTCTTGCTTCAGTCGCTGCCCGTCTTGTGTAACCCTGGCAATCCCCTCATCAACGTTTTGTTGTATTTTCTTGTTGGTGTCCATGAACGTACTATCCAGTGCCTTGCGGATCTTCTCAACTTCCTGTGTAGCGTCACTCAGCTCCGTTCTTTGCTGCATAGCTTTTGCTGTTGCCTCTGCAATTTCTTGTCTACACTTACCCAAGGCCTCCATCTGTCCGCTGAGAGAGTGCCTAGCATGGTCTAGAACTGAGCAAGTAGTGCATGCCAGTTGCTCACACGTGTTGCAGTAGATACTAACATTCTGGTCCGGATGCTTTCCACATTTTGGAACCTCTTCTCTCAGTTTACTCTTGTAGGAGATCTCTCCTGAACGGAGCTGGGCCAGAGTGTTCACATCATGCGTTTTCAACGCAGCCATTCGGCTGTGTCCCTTATCGCACTCAAGACAGAGAAAACTGTCACAGTTCATGCACCTTGACACAGCTTCATTTCCCTCATCACAACTTTGACATTTGATCTCTGACCCTTGACCTTCATCAAGCAGCTGTTCCTGCATTGTGAATTCCTCCACCAGGGCTCCCAAAGTAAAGTTAGTAGGAAGGGCAGTGACATCGTTCCCTTTCAGCTTGGTATCACGTCTGCAGAGAGGGCATGTTAGCTTGGTACTATCAGGACCTTGCCACTCTATGAGCTCTTGAAGGCAATTTAGGCAGAAACTGTGCAAACAGTCAAGAACTTTGGGCTGCTTGTAACGACAAGAGCAGATTGAGCATTCTAGATGATCCTGGCTGATCTTGCCCAAGACGGATTGAACAGTCACATTGGATGCCATGTCTGTGGAAATACAAACAAAATTGCAGTCAATATTCACAGTTTGTTAGAGGAAAGAAGGTGATGCAGGCTTGATCAAGTTATACCGTATACTGGACATTTTCAAGATAATTTAGGTTTCAGAGTAATAAAACCCAACAAATGTAACATAAAAATTGGGTCCAGCTCCTTTTGCAACAGAGCTAGAGACAAGTACCGGTATGTACATCTATTTGTGTAATATAGAGTAATACAATTATTTATTTACTATTACATGTACTTGTGCTTGTTACAAATTTTGAAAACCTTGTTGTACAAACATTGGTTGCTCCTCTTCCCTTACTGCTGTGATATCTCATAGAGAAAAAAACAACCACTTACTTGAAGTTGAGCTATCCTGTGGTCCTTTTTGCATTTGGAAAGATGAATCTACCGGTAACTTATCTTTTTTGGTAGAAATAACTCAACAAAGTGCCATCTGCCGTGTATAATCGCTAGATGCCAAGCTGGCAATGCAACAATGGCGTATACTACCATATGGTACCACAAGTTTCTGTTATCGGGATGCACTCTAGTTAAGATCATGTGACATGGATCCATTTGTACTTCTGCTTGTGCAATGCAAAGGGTAAGCATTTTCCACACTTGCAGTCTGATAGTGATCTTCACAATTGGGTGCAAAGGTTCTTCAGTGTCTGTACATAGTGAACTGGCTTGTACAGGTGCAACTGCTGTAGTTCATATTCATAATGAACATGAACTTGAACTTCACCCTGGAACCAGAAGAATTGTATATTTAGGAATTCTCAAGTGCGTTGTGAATAAAGGAAAACTAGGAAAATAACATGCTTTGTGAATTAAGGGATATCAAAGAAAATACTTTGTGAATTAAGGTCATCAATAAAGAAAAGGAAAGTTGCACCCGCAGCTGGCCCTTCCCTATTTGTATGAAAACTGGAAAAAATGTATCCTATGTGATTATTATATGGATTGTTTTGAAGTGAACAGTTCCTGTGCGCTCTGAATTTGTGTTGCTCAGCTGTGTGAAAAGTTTGTTGCCCTTCCTTCTGTCTGGCGTCACTAACAAGTCTGTCACAAGAGGGCTCACTACTCCCAAACCAGTTCAGTGGATTGTATATTGCAGTGTGTGTCAGAACCGCAAGGGTTTTCAGCTCAGAACCTACAGTATGTTGGTTTGATTCATATTGGAATTTAAGAAATTTTCGAAATATCCGGGAACCTTTTTTTTAGGACTGGAATCCGTAAAGGAGAGAAGTCTAATTACTTTGTAACTTACTTATTTTTTATAAACACAGCCAATTGCTTACGTAGTTTCATTTACGTTTCGACTAGTTTCATTAGTCATCCTCAGAACGAAGCACCACCAGTCGGTTGGTGGCGCTGTTTCCTGTTGCGGCAGTGTTTGGCAGGACAGTAGCTGAAATCTGCCCCCACAACTTCTTGCAAACCTTCGCTGCTCACTAGTCCATCACGATTCACTGACAACGCTTGTGGAGTAGACATGAACAATTATACACGGTTTAAAGGGAATATACAACATTTGCAAACATCGAAAAATAAAACTACCAAGTTTTTACAAAATACCTTACTAGGATGTTGGTAAATGACAGTCTTAAGCATCCTGTAAAATTATGGCACCTGGTTTGAAGTCATTTTCAAGAAAATGGTATTTTTGTACACATTTCCAATGGTGGTCGGCCGACCACCGTTGGAAAAACCTAACTATTTTTCACCTACTGCTCTAAATTTACCATTTTTTTTCCAGTCCAAATTTTGTTTGCTATTGGTTACATATTCATGAACGGGTGCAGGCCAGCTAGACTGGTTCCCTAAGGCCCCCAAAAAATAAAATACTCAGTCTCTGGTCAGACCAAAGTTCCGGAATTGATGCGGCGATGGGGCTTTTTTTTTTTTTTTTTTTTTTTGCTTTTTTTTTTTTTCCAAGCTTGGATTGTACAGACAAGGTGGGGTACTATTTTCCTTTTTTGGTGTCCTCATGTACATTGGTGTCCTCCATAATCTGCGTTGGTGCCCTCGATCATTTGACTTGGTGCATCAATTTCCCATTCCTTGGTGCTCTTTGGTAAAAAAAATTTGAGGAGGTGCGGCAATAGAGGGCGCTGTTGGAGCTACCGCGGGACATTTTGGAAAAAAAAAAGGTTGACGCGCATGATTAAAATCGACGCGCGCGCTGACCAGAGATCAACTTTTTTTTTTGGCCTTACCTTACTATTTTCGGACATCTATATCGATCCATTTTATCTTTAGTGGAGTCAGGGAACCAGACTACTTGAACATTTTTGTTTTTCTTGGTTTTTCCAGCATTTTTGAACACAAAACTTCAAACATGTCAGTTTAACAATATTTGATCTATTATACTAACCCCTCAAATAGTTCATTTCTAAAAATTACAGCAAAAGCCAATGATGTACATTCCCTTAAATAGTTCAATTCGTAAAGAAAATTGGTCCTCAGCCATGTCAGCGACTTTTATTTGTTTAACTGAAAAACTGATTTGAAAAACAAAGTTAATTCTTGATTTGTGAACACTGGTGTCGGTGGATTGTGGGTATGACACCCAATGAATTTTGTCGGCAAAATCATTGGCCTGTCGGCAAAATCATGCACCCATTGGCAAATTTGCCAGGTTGAAGAGTGCCAACCGTTGTCCGATACTGTACGAAGATTGTATCCATGCAGCTGCAACCCCCCCCCCCCCTTCCGTCCGAGTGAGTTTTTTATGATACGATGAATTAGACACTTCTCATATCAAAATACAATTTTTGTTTTAATTAAAAGATGATTTTCTGAAGTCACATGAGAATCCCTGCAAAATGAACAATGGTTCAAAGAGGGAACTCGTAGAAATTTACAATGTGGGTTTGAACACGTGTCTAACAGTTATACACCAGCGTTTTATACATAAGTTGCACCACAGCTATCACAAACAGAGGAAAAAGTAACAAACCACCCAATAAAACTTGCAATATTTCCCTGCAGCACCAAAACAAATTACTGTATTACATTGTATATAAATTATCTTCGAATTAAAATTAAAAAAAAAAATGTGTACATGTACAATACTAAGATTTGAAGATGAAACCATCACCTTATGAAATCGAGCACATAATATTATTAATAAGTTGCTAAACTTATCTTAAATACTATTATACAAATATTGAGTGGCTCAGAGTGAAATGGGAGGAATATTATCACAAGGTAAAATCTGGACTTTTCCATTACACGATGCCAAGCGGAGTGAACTAGAAAAGTCCAGATTTTACCGAGTGATAATATTTCTCCCAATTCACAATTGAAAGGACTCAATATTTGTTTTATATAACTGACATATAAATCCTTGTCATTTGACATTTTTGAACTTTTATTTCAGTACAAAATTGGTGAAAAATGTTCTTCTCTCTCCCAAACCATCCCTTCAAGAAAATGTTTGAGCCCAACTCTGTAGCGCTGGCTATGCACAACGAGAATGATCCTAACTGTTGAATAGTATAGGTTTTCCCAGACAATTTCGGAAAATGTGCGTTTGAATTTGTAAAACATAAATTCAATTTGGCGCCGAGTTTGAGAACGACGTACATCCTGGTTTCATTTTGGCAATAACTAGCGTTCGATTTCATTTTGCATCAATCAAATGAATGAATGTGCATAACGTTTCATTTAAGGGATTACAACTACGTGATAAGGCTTTCTTTTTGACGGATGCGTTGCCGATTATTACGAATGTGCAATCCAATTCGCAGAAAATCGATTGTCTATTGTGACACAGGCTGAATTAAACATTCGTTTTCATTTGTTACAATTTAAATTCGCATTTTCTGCATTCAATTTTAATAAATTATACAGTCCTATACAAATCATGATACAACTTTGATTCATTAATTAATGATTCATTAATTATTCGATATATGCCTTATTGATCATTAATGTGTTTGTTTTTATATACACAAAGGCCTATGTGAAATGAAATGTGAAAATGATATTAATATGACCAATATGAAATCACTCAAAATAATCTTGTAGCCATATTATTGAGACGGTGAAGGGACACATCACTTACATGGGATCTGCATGGGATCTGCATGGCGACTTTTTGAATATTCAAAAATTCAATCATTCAATCAACCATTCCTCAACTGTTACTTTAACACATAAATGAATTCCAATGCTTGACCAGGTATACGTTAAATAACACTGCGAGGGAAATCGGCTGCACATTTAGCGAAAAAGATTAATGATAAATTAAAAGGAAAACAGGATTGCGGATGTGCCTTCGATTTCGCGCTAAAATGAAATGTCAATACACTAAATGCAGTGCACATTCGGGAAATCGTACGCTGATTTTTAACGACTGAATGCACTTTCACGGAAAAAGAATTATCATTTGTTAAATAGAAACAGAGATTTGGAACGTTCATTCTATTTCGCACGAAAACGAATGCTTCTTTTACAAATTTGTATACACATTTTCCGAAATTGTCCGGGAAAACCTATATTTCCCATTCCCCATGGGCGAATGGGACTTTTTGAGGTGTGCATGGGAGCAATAACGAATGCCATGTGATGTGAGTTTCACCAATCAAATGACAAGGATCTGTATGGGAGTTATATAACAGGGGATATCACACACCTTCAATTTCTCTTCTGAGGTATTGATCTGATACACTGTGCCCTCTGGAGACGTGCACACAATAGGGAACAAAAGATTGTATACGTCTCCAAAGGGCAATTTCTATAGATGAATATGTCTGTACAAGATTTTCACAAAATAGATATATGGATTGTACTCAAAAACTAGGAATTTCCAAGGTGGGTTGATCCGTTGCAAATGGAAGAGTTTTAGAAAAGGGATATTAAGTCTAAATTTCAGCCAAGGAAATTAATTCTGGATAAAATAAGAGCATTTTGAAACTTCACTTTCAAACTCGAAAACTTTACTACACAAGAACAAAGAAATGTCTCCACAAGAATACAAATTTCAGT